GTCGGCCGTTATCTGTACTTGCAGATATTGCATGATCAACGCGTGTTTCGGTTCTTTCTTGCCAGTACAGCATCATGCTGTGCAAAAATACAGCTATCTGACAGTCGATAATAAAATAATAACACATTAGAGCGTGGAATTTTGTTTGATTTTTTAATACTTTCATGCTGGTATTTCTTTTGCTGGCACACAATGAACGCGTTTTATCAGCATGTCTCGAGACGCAATCTAAAAGAGCAAAGAAAAAGGGAATGTAGAGTGAACGGAAATAAATAAATAGATAGGCAAAAAACTAGAGCTCAAGAAACACGACAAACCAAAACATGGGTAAGTATTTTCAATCTTTCGAAAATTGTTATTAATGAAGATATTTTTGCATCCACCCAAATCCAAAACCAAATCAAAACTAAAATCAAAAACAAAAATAAATCCCTATTGAAGAAAGTTCACAAAAGCTCTTTCCCACAGCACACGGCATAAAAAACTGACAAGGACACCCCCACCCAAAAAAAAAAAGAAAAAAGAAAAACCGGGCGGAAAAAGACCCCAAAACTACCCCCGTTGAAGAGATTGCACATCAGCATCGTCAGAACAGCAACAAGCATACTGAACCGACGAGGAGCCCCCTACAACATACCCGCGCGCGCTCATATGCCCTTAGCAGTTGCGAGCGCCGTAAAACCGTACACTACTACTACTACTACTACAACATGCCCGCTGAAGAAGTTATCTCCCTTGCTGGGGACACGCTCGGTGTCTGACGTATTACTTTTAGAAAGGGTTTTACTGCACTAGCAGCCCAAGAAGTCATAATAAATAATATATAGGTTCCAAACTATACTTAGAGGTGTTACTAGTGATTAAAACACAAAGAAATGAAAACGGAGAGATAAGGACGATAGATGTTTGACAGGGAAGCAAGACAAAGCAAAAGACAGAGGGATAAGAACGATATATGTTTGAAATAGGAAAGAAGGAGCAAGCAAACCACACCAGAGCACCGCC